AATAGTCCAACTGTATGTAATTAAAAAGGTTGACCAACTATGCAGCGATGACGAGTCTATTCGAGTGGTTTCAAATGCCACAGTCAAGTAATGGTATGAAAAATTGGCTATTGACGTCAATGTTAATCCTTTTCAAGTGCCAATGAGGACGATTAATTCTTTATAGTGTGTGGACAACAATGTCTGCTTGATGGTAAGATATCAACAGCTGGTATTGTAAGTTGTTGTAAATATGGTTTTCAAAACTCGGTGTTTCTATTGCTTTAATATGACCAAATTATCCAGTATTTCCACGACCAATAACGAAACTCCAAAATCTGTGTCTCACCATATCGAACCCGCTGTCATAGTGGTGTTAGTATGGCGTTTAATTTCATTAGTGCTAATTATTTGATAGCTTATAGAGTGCACTATGCGGTCCTTAATATTATGGTTGCGTTTGTAGGAAACCAAAGGGGGTTCTGGCCATAGAAACTTGAGTGTTGGGTCTTTATCAATGAGATGCCAGTGTTTACGCAAGATAGATCCTATATGAGTGGTATTAGTGTTATAGGGCACAGAGAACGTTAGTATAGATTTATTGCTATTAGGTTCATTATTTCGGCTCTGGTTAGTAGCATTACCATCAATGCGAATATTATTATTATCATTCTCCCAAATTAGTAGATTTGACTGAGTATATTGCAGAGCTTTATTAAAGGCATTATCAATTACATTGTTAGTATATCCCCTAGTAATTAGATTAACACGTAGGTCCTGAAGGTGTTCACTTAATCTGTTACGGTTAGTAATTAATCGTACGTATCTAAGGGCTTGACTATATATGATGCTAGTTTTGCAATTGTTGGGGTGAAAGGACCCGTTATGTAAAAGTAGAGCTTTGTCTGTTGGTTTAATAAAAAGGTCGGACTCCAGTTGGTTAAGGTTGTTAATGTAAATACTAGTATCAAGAAAATGGACTTTTTCATGCGAGTACTAAAATTGAAAATGCAATGAGCACATAACCAGAAACGTTTGTTCACAAGCGACGAAGACAATGCTTAAGTAGCGAAGGTAACTACGCAGGAATCATCGAGGGGAAATGTTTTCATCTATATTATGAATAAGTAATAGTATGGTTTCTCGTGCAATTTGGAAAACCATACACACGTGAGTTTTTTAAAGCCATCAAATTGCACTCGTCCTTCGCACTCGTACAATTTTGACAGTCTTTAAAAAACTCACTCGTGCATGTTTTTTTCCAAATTGTACTCGAAACCATGATATTACCTATACTAAAATACTCATGCTGCGCACTCGCATTTTAATTAAATATGATCATAGCTCCTATGCGTGTTTATTGCATCATTTCCCTGATGTTGGACATAGGTAATTTGACTCCCATGTTCACTTTCAACAGGTCTGTAATGAGAACGGCAATTGTCACTGTAAATCAGGATGGAAATGTCCAGATTGTTCGCAAGCTTACGATGGTCCAGGTGGAAGCATCGACAGTGATCTGGATTGTGAGACTGTTACCTCAACAACAACTCAAGTTCCAGGTACTGCATGTATGTTTCTACGTATGAACTGGAAAAAAAATTGAAAATCCATAGAATGAAAATTGTATGGACCTTTATAGAATGGATTTTGATTATCCATAATAATTGTATATTTCCATACTAATGGATATAGTATCGAAATCGTATGGGTATACTATGGATTTAGTGGTGCAAAATCTCATAGTATGGATTTCACATTTTTTCCCAGTGATGTTTTCGGTCATTATATTTTATATAGACATTGATGAATGTTTGGGCAAACCATGTGATGTCAATGCCAGATGTAATAACAGTGAAGGTTCATTTGATTGTCAATGTAATGTTGGGTATTGTGGAAATGGACTTATTTGTTCTAGTAAGTAAATCATTCATTGATATGCGTGTCTGAAATATTTTACTTCTTTTAAACACTTATTGCTTGTTATTTAATAAATGCTTGAGCAACCCACTGCATCACAATGCCAACTATACTGACAATGAAGGTTCTTTTGACTGTGAATGTAATGTTGGGTATTTTGGGAATGGACTTAATTGTTACAGTGAAGTAGCTAAATAATTTATTCTTGTGTCGAAATTAAAATATTTTACCTTATTTTTTATCATGAAGCAATCTTATTGGCTGAGGAACTTCTAAGAGCTGGCAAGTTTCTTGCATCCGGCCCGCTGTGAAACGCAACTGCCCGCTCTGTTTTTCGCGCCAGAAACAAAAAAGTGAAACAAATTTTGAACTAAAAATCGGCCCAAAAAATTTTAAAAACGTAGCCTAATGATTTACACCAGAATTGACAATATTTGGAGAAAAATGCGACTGAAAGACCTGAAATTCAGAAAGTTATTTGATATGTATAAAACTTGCGCCAAGAAAGATATATTTTTGTTTTAAATACTGGCATGTATTCGGCCACTTAAAGGCGATAAATTATATACAGCACATATATTTTAAACGAAATTTTTCACCCTCAACCTCGTACATGCAATCTTAAACTGAGAAGGTTTTACTGGAGTCAAAACATGTCACGATTCCTATATTCTCTACCTATAATATGTGTCATGCATTTTTCACTGATATAAATATTGTAGTCAAAGTCTGTGTTTAAAAACACATTTTTCAAGCATATTATCATAAAAGAAGCAGAAAAATACAAAAATTAAAAACACCACATCTTCTTCGCTATATCCTTTTAGTAGAAAATCAAAGCAGATTCATTTATATGTGTTTTTGATCGGCAAAGCAAGTGAACATTGCCGGAATTAAACAACTGAAAATGCTTTTCTGCTACCATATTTATAAAAAAGCATGTACATTTTTACTGAAACTACATGTCTTTTTCTGTATTTGTTGCCATGCAGTGTTCTCGAGTTTTCGTATTCGTGTTAATCTTTCAACTTTTCAATTTTTGTCTGCCTCGCTTTTATAATACAATAATGAATAACCGCACTGATCTCAACTAATTGGTTCGCGTTTGCACTGAAATTTTAATGATAGTGTCTCTTCGCAATGTGGTAAGGTGGACACCTCTTTGTAGGGAGATTTGTGTAAGTGAAACAGCGCATGTGAGCATGTGACACATAAACCCTTGTTTCCATTTTGTCTGTTCATTTCAAAACTTCAGAGTAGTAAACTCCTATCGATCCTGACAAGATCTCTGAAGAAATATTTCCAATGCAAATTTATAGACAAGCTGTCAGGATTAACCTAGGATTAAGTTAACCCAGCTTTGACAGGCCCTGATGTGTAACAATTATAATAGAGCTTTTTTTTATTAATTTGCACTATCATAGTAAGTGTCCTCCCCCAGAAAATTTTTACTTTATTGAAGCTCCAGGACTGCATTTCTGCGTTTTCTAAAGCAAATTTGCAAACGGAATTGGATCTAATATAAATTGACTGTATTGTACAAAAATGGTTATTATTTCACAAAAATAACGACTTTATTATGAAGTAGTTAGCGCACTTGACTTTCACATCTAAGGTCGCTGGTTTAAATCTCAATGAGTCAATTTCTCAAATGTGACTCGGAACCCAGTCATCATGTGAAAAGAGTAAAAGTCAACGCTCTGCCGAAAGTCGTGGGTTTTCTCCGGGTACTCTCCCACAGAGAAGGTTGACAGGGTGGGTTAGGCACATAGGTTGGGGGGCAGATCATTAATGAGGTATGGACTAACAGCGGCTGCTTAAAGCGCCATTTGTAAGCTCACTGTCTACCTCGGTCTGCTTCACGCCAGTTTGGGCTGTAATTGTAATGCCCACTTGATCATATACATATGTAAAATCGCGCAATAGAAATATTAAACTTAAAGTTTATGTAAATCAGTATGGTTCTGTATCAGATATACAAACTCCTTCACGCTTATGATTTCTTTTGTGTTTTATTCGTGAATTATTAATGAGTTTCACACTGTATTTAACATTTTCTTTACATACTCACTCACCATTAATATTTTTACGTCTTTTCTTTATTTAGGACTGCCAGACACGTTTATTTCCATGACATTTACACTGAAGGATAGAGAATTTACGAATTCGCTGCACGATCCAAACTCTGAAGATTATCAGACGCTTTCAAGAGAAGTCAAAAATAATGTAAGTTTCACAATTGTGATGAAATTTATGGTGGATGGCTCTATCAGTTTTCCCCAGGTGGTCCAATTAGCCATTTCCCAAAGTCCTGGGTCTATTTACGCAAATCCCATGTTGGAGGAACAAGAAATATGGCAGCACATATTTAAACTAATGGGATAGAAAAGGAGATATCTCATTTTTGGTCGTCTAAAAAGTTGATATTTAATTGGTAGTAGATACTTCTACTCTTTCACATATTTGACGCCTGTCTCCATGCCTTTTGTCCCTTAAAACGATCCAAGAATGAACTGTGATCTCTTTTGGGAAAAGGCTAGTATGGGCCATTCCCTTGTTGGTTCAGATGTTTTTTCAAACGAAGATCTGTGCCATCGTTAATTCATTGTTTCTGAAAGCGGAAGCCAATTCTGATTTTCTGGAGAGTTTCGCACCCCTTGAATTTCTCCATTTAGAGAGGAGCATACTTTAGAAATCGAACGCGATTAAATCGTTAGAGAGTTAAACGATTTTGTCATATAAATTTTTCTTAATTTAAGTCCATATCGATCACTTTATTTTTAGTTTGATGAGGAATTTGCTAATGTTCCCGAATATCGTGGTGTCAATATTATTAGATTTAGGTTAGTTCATAGTTGCATATATTTACTTTCATGTGTTGATAAGATAATTTTTAAACAGTTAGGTAAGTTTCCAGTTTTAACTAATTTCTAACCAAAATATTGTATCCCCCATTCTGAAAAGATCTGGAAGTGTGATTTGCGATGCAGAAGTGGTTTTGGTTCTAAATGCTCATGACGAAATTACTAAAGTTTTGGAGAGAGTTAATGCAACTGGCGTCCTTGGTAACATTTTTGTCGTGTCTGATTCATTGACTACTGCTGATATACCAGGTAATTTGAGAATATTGGATAACCTAGGGTATGGTTCGTATACAGCTACCAATGAAGGACGTACCTGCACATCGTAATGGGTGGATTTTGTAAGCGTTATGGGACATGGTGATCAACCTCAAACCTGTTGATGTAAAAGAAAACTAATTATATACCCCATCACTCATTTTCCCATTTCCTTTCATCTGCTACACGCGATAGTGCTTAGTAAAAGCCACCTAGTTTCCCATCTTCTGTTTACGTTTAGAATTTAGAGATATTCAACTGGACGTAGAGTACAATGGATACGCCGGAGACTTGTTGAAGATCACATGTAATGTTACTGGACCATCTCTTCCGAGCTTTGAGTGGAGGAAAAATAACATGATTTTATCCTTATCAACAAGAGTAAAGATTGAAAACAACGATCAAGTTTCAAAACTTTTTGTCCGTAAAACTGCAAAATCTGACTCTGGCGATTATTATTGTATAGCCAGGTAAGCACGTTTGAGAATGATCCGTTGATGAATTTCATTCTGTTACATCCGATGTCTCACAAGATAGCGCACTCGATCATACCGTACTTGGTCGAAAATTACAGTACAACAAGATTCCGCAGTGTAAAAACTAATATAAAGTGTTTGGTCATAGTCTACTATCAAGATATGATGGTCTGGAAACTAAACAGAAGTGTTTGTTATATGTTTTTGTCTGAGTTTATGTTACTATGTGCACGGTCACGATGATTAGCTCATTGTATTTTCGTATAATTAAGTAACCGTCCAATTGGGATAGCTGAGATGAAACGTGCAACCACGATGAATAATATTTTATGAAGTTGAGACAAAGGATTTGACAGATTATGATTTGGTGAAGTCAAACCAGAAGCATTCTTCTTTTCATGTGCAGCTGAGGCAAAGTTCTAATCAGACAAGTTCATATTGGGGAAATCCATCCCTGCTGACCGAGCTGGAAGACACATGCGCCAACAACTGTGTCACCAAATCGTCAACTCCTCGAGTCCTCGCCAATACAGGGTCATGTTTTCGTAAAGTCTCACATGGTGTTTCTTTTTATCTTAGCAAAGGGGTTGACATAATCAACAGGAGTGTAGCTGTACAGGTTAAAGTTATTCCTGTTGTTGCAGTTTTCCCGTTATCTGTTGCTGCTACTGAAGGTAATGCATATATTTCTTAGGATCTATAAGCAAGATTGCAAGAGTGCGTACGCACAGGCGAGGTGAGGTAATGGAAGATAGAATGAAACAGTGGTAACCAGACATTTAAATTGTACAGGGTGCATGTATTCAAAAATGTTCGCTAAAGTGCAAATTCCGCAACATTTGTGAAAACTTAATGCAAGTATGGGTAGCTAGGGGTCTGCTGTTATCTTTACCACTAAATTATAAGTAAAATTTGGAGGGTTTTATTAAACACCACTGTAAAAATGGATTGCGCACAAAAATGGAAGGCTAAAAACGCAACTTGATTTCGGAGGGTGCAAATTTAGAAGTTGTTTTATAAAGTATCAAAGTACTATGGACAATTTGATGTACGCAACGTCCTACACTCGACCTCTGAAACGTCGACTTTTTTGCCATATCAACTGAATGATTTACGTATCTTTGCAAAAGTTCAAAATTATGGCAAGAAAGTCCACGTTGAAGTCGTGCACCTATAAATTTAAATTGCGTTTTAAGCCTTCTATTTTTGTGCACGCATGCCATTTTTAATGTTTTTTTTGAAAACAACCGTGCTGCCCTGAAAAATTTACTTTTCAAAATAATTTTGGTGTTAAAGATACTAGCAGACCCCAAACTACCCATTCTTGTATAAAGTTTTCACAAATGTTGCAGAATTTGAAGTTTGCAGTTTTTCTACAAATCCTGCACCCCACCCTGTCTTCAGGATACCCTTTCTTAATGGTTAGTTCGTCCAAACACTTTGACTACCTAATTTCTTACATTTTTTCTCAATTATTTTCCATTCAGGTCATACAATAACTTTAACTTGTGAGGTTTCTGTTGGCAATGAAGGATTTATCGAAATTTTGTGGTACAACTCCAAACAGGCTGGTATTGTTGGTCAAACTCGACAACTAAGTTTGTCCAATATTGAACTGTCTGATAGTGATCAGAGTTACAAGGCAGAATATTGGTGTTTGGCTAAGAACTCGGACGGTACCGGACGAAGCCAGAACGTTCCAGTGTATATATTATCATCAGGTAAGAATGCCTTGCTATGCTTTTTGTTATGTTTACCTATGTTTATGAATTATTGGTATTGGTTGGTTTCAATAAGCATTATATAATAACTACAGTGGAACACGCAGTTTGATTGGTCAATAACCGTACTGGTTCAGACTATCCTGCAAGAAGAATTAAAATGCCTTCGCGGGATTTTCGCGGGATTATCAAAATGTCATTGTTTCACTGTAGTTATTTTATAAAACAATTACCAAATGGTTTTCCCAGCAGGATAGCGCGATCCATGCACTTGGGATGTTGCTCGACTTTCGGAAAGTGTAAAAATACACTCGCCTGCGGCTCGGGTATTTTTACCCTTTCTGAAAGTCTCGCGACATCCCTCTTGCATGGATCACGCAATCCTGCACGGAAAACTATTCGGTATTCCTTTATTACGGGACAGGAGATGGTGGTCAACTTGAGAAATGTTGACATCTTATAGGAGCAAACTCGACTGCATCTTCCAATTCTATTTATTTGCCACCAAATACAAGACTGCTACATATCATGAAAATAACTAACAATATTTAACCACTCAGATAACTGCCGGATGACACCTGCTGAACGATAGTATGTACTTCGTAAAACCCACCTTCATCATTCATTGCATGGCGTCTTTTTATTTATTGTTCTTTTTAGATTTTAATGAGTTTTGCATCGAAGTTTATGACAGTGGTTATACTTGGGAAGAGATACCAGTAGGCACCTCCGTGATTAAACATTGTCCTAATGGAACAATAGGTACGGTTTGTTACTCTTTGTGTTTGGCTCTTTTGATTAACTACAATAAAGTAACTGTATAATTGTGTTAGATAGCTCTGTCAGTTAAAGAAATTTTACCGACCACGTTCCAGCAAGGAATACTACTTATTGGACTAGTGTTACTATTGGAGGAAACTTAAACTTAAACTTAAAACTAACTTAAACTGCATAGTTTTAACTGAGTGTTCTTCCAAGAGGAAACTGGAGTACTGTTTCGTAACGTTTGGCTAAGACTCCTCTTGTGAATAAGGTGAAATCATATGAGAAAACTGAATATTGCAGAAACATAGCCTTGATCACAGGGAGGAATGGACTAACACTCACAGAGAGGACACATGGACTAACCACTGATAAAAATTCATTTACAGGAACTGTGACGCAATTCTGTAACAGTAATGATGGTCAGTCTGTCTGGGGAGATGTGAATTTCTCCAACTGTAGAAGTTCTGTTGTTATCAAACTTGTTGATAAGGTGATTGTCAAACTTGTCACTATAATCCAGCTAATTGTACGTTCCTTCAATTGAAATTGTATAAACTAATGTATCTTGGTTAATTTGTGAATGCACTACCTGAAGAAGATTGAAAACAACTTAATCTTTTTACAGATCTTTAGATTGAACGAAGGGTTTGAATCGGGGAATATCAGTGAGATCTTGCGCGAAACTGAAAAAGTTTCAGAAGACGATGAACTTTACGAAAAAGATATTGAAGACATTGTGTACGTTTTGGAAAAGACAGAGCATAAAACGAAAACACAAACTGATCGTCTAAGTTTTATTCGTTCATCAAGTAATATAGTGAGTCAGAAGAAAAAGAATGTATGGAAAAATATACCGGTAAGACACAAACGAAAAGCAGCTGGTCATGGTAATTTGGAATAGCGAGTTATGTTTTGAAATATTAATGAGTTCGGGAAATATATATTGACAACTATGATGAAGTGACTCAACCAAAACTGTTTTTGTTTTCCAGTCTAGAAATCATTTAGCGAAGCAGATTATAAGTGGCACAGATTTAAATGCATGGAACTACATTTCAGAAAGTGCGGAAATAGGAAACGTTGTCTCATATATTACGCCCAACATAGCCGTGCATGGAATACGTCTACCAACAGCAAAACCCACCAAACCAGGAGATATTATCTTGCTGGACACAGGAGGACAGGGTGTGATTATCCCTGATGTTGTGACCAATGAATTAAAACAAGCAACCGTAGTGCAGTACAGTTCAATCAAGGATATTTTTTCTGAAGAAGAGTTGAAAGAATCCGTGGATAATACTATTGGATCCACTGAATCGTTGACAATCAGAAGTACTATTGTATCTTTCACAATCGAACCATCGCTTAAGAATAAGCCAGTGTCTAAACCTTTCAAGATTGTACTTCAGAATAACCAGGTATGAAGTGAGTGTGGTTTGCTGGATGGTTAGATGAGGAAATGAAGGCGCTAGACTAACTTTGTTTTTACTGCGTACCTCTACTGGTATCCCTAGAAATTAAGGAAGGGATATCGCTTATTAGTATAAACCTACTAGCAGGCTATCATGTATCGTGCGTTCTGATTGGCTGCGCTACTAGTAGGCTATTAGTGATAGTCTACTAGTAGCAACAAGCGGCGAAGGGCGCGAGAGTCAATGGCCGTTTTTAAGTATTAGCATTTAAAGGGAAAAAGCTTATCAAAATGGCCTAATTTTGGTTCTGGATTACACACAAACAAAGACTCTTGGAAACTGCTGACACATGCGGTAAAATTTTAAAGTTTTCTCAACTTTGCTCGTTGTTTTGAGCATGAAAGTGACAGGCGATTTTTAAAATATATGCACAATTAATGTTTGTTAATATTCCAAGCAGAATCGTTGAAATTCAACAATACTTTGTAGCTATTTACCCCTATTTTCTCAACCTCTTTAGTGTGTGCTTGTTTTAAGTTAACCTGGGCATCAGGCCCTTATGTTTTCATTCGCCAGGATTAATTGGCGGCGGCGAATGAAGGAGGGCCTGATACAATTCTTTACCGCGGCGCATGTAAAAAGCCAGATTCTGGCTTTTTTGTCTGATTGGCCGATTAGACAAACGATTTTTTAAATCTGTCATTTGATTGGCTGGAGCTAATTAGATTATACTATTGTTGTTGATATATTTTATAACGAACACAACTACAATTATAGCCAGCCTACTAAACGGCTAAATTTAAATTAAAACTGCAGTAAATATATTGCAAATGTAGCTTATATTAAATCGCCATCAGATTGCACTATCGACTAACTGACGTATAGTTATAAAGTATACTTAATATATATATATATATATATATATATATATATATATATATATATATATATATATATATATATATATATATATATATATATATATATATATATATATATATATATATATATATATATATATATATATACCGTATATATATTTATATATAGTTTTTCGTTTTATCTCAAAAAAACACAACAGTCTGTTTCATACGGGTGGAAGTAAGAAATGCGACAGAGCTGAGCAAATACATCTGGCAACTTAAAGAGTCAAAGGTCAAGTACTCCATATTTTTATTAGGCGTATTATTAAACAATGCAAGAGGTACGACAACACAACGAAACGCTGCAGTCTTTGTACACATGAAAAATTCATTATAATCTACTATCCTGAACTTTGTTCTTTAAACTCAAGAAGTGAACTTTTTTCGAAATGCAGACATAGAAACAAATTTCTCTTCAGCAATATACATTACTTAATATAATCTGTATATGTAATCTATACGTAATTTAATACTTGAACATTCCGTTTACGTCAAACATGTATTTATTATATATAACCTTGGCAACAACATAGCGCGACATTTAAATTCACCTGATGAGTGTGGCAAGCATTGCTTGTCATACGAAACAAGTTTGTAGTGAATAAATCTTATGAAGTAAACCAGGTTTATTTTATCATTATCTTTATTAGCTCTAGACTTCGGTGTATCGAGCACTCTACTCATATATGATTCTAAATACATATTTGGTATATATATATATATATATATATATATATATATATATATATATATATATATATATATATATATATATATATATATATATACTTTATAATTATACGTCAGTTTGTTGATAAATACGGTATATAAGCGCCATGTAAACCTCATTGTAGTCACTGAAACCTCTGCGGAGGAGAGAGCAATCGAGTGGCGATTTAATATAAGCTACATTTGCAATATATTTCGCTAATTTGTGATTATTTTTGTTAAATTTTATAAGTTCATTGCAGTTATAATTTAAATTCAGCCGTTTATAGTGGGCTGCCTATGCTATAATTAGATTGTTGTTGTAGTTGTGTGAAATTTGAATTTCTCCTGCGACATTTTGATTGGATACTAAGTATAAACTTTGCTGTGGGTGGAAAGCAATCAGGTTAAGTTTTGTGTCAGGCTCTATATATAAAATAGTGCCTGATACTCAGGTTAGTTTTAAGTACGGTTCATGAATTTAGCTGTCATTTTAAAGAGTTTTTTCGTTTAAATGTTGAGATTTTGGCCGAGTCTGTTTTTCGCCTTTTCGAGACTTTTATAAGTCGAGCCGGCTTTTCGATTAAATTTTAATCTAAACTATTGTCTAGTATGTATACTAGATTATGGAAATGGTTTGCCTCTTTATGTTCCAGATATTTTAGAGATTTCAACGATATTCGGATAATCGGATTCTTTTGCATGTGTGTGCATTTTTATTCGCTTTTTAAATTTTAACGTAAACTTTATTTACTAATTCGTAATTTAGTAACAATTCGGGAAGCCATTTTGTGTTCGAAATTTTGGACTTTTTAAGCCTTGTTTCCTTCTTTTAAATAGTTTTAATCAACCAAACTTTGCTTCTATAACGGTCTCTTACTATTATATACTGTTTTACGACATGTTTTTTAACTATATATTTAAAACTCACAAGTTGTATTTTTCAAGTCATTCTTGAGAGTTCGCAACACTGAGAAACACTGAGTAGTTGTCAAGAAGGCCGAGGCGAAATGTCGCCAAAAGGAAGCCATTTAAACGCTCGTTTCGTTAAAACGTTATTATTTTACATAAAAATCAAGTGAAAATTTCGTTTTCTTTATGTAGTTTATACCAAAACAATTAGACAACTCAGCCTCGTTGCCTCCGCACGAATAGTCAAATCGGCTTCGCCTCGTTGACTATTCGCTCATAGATAACTCGGCTTCGTTGTCTAATTGTTAATTGGTCCTGTATTTCTGCAGGGCAAACCGAAAATAAACCAACTATACTAGATGGCTCTATCAGTTCGAATAGTTTGTTGGTCCAGTGTTTCATCTGGGGAAACTGGAGTACCCGGAGAAAATTCTTAATATCTGATAGAGTCAAACTAGAAATATTCTTCTTACATGCAGCTCGGATGAAATTATAATCAGACAACCCGAAATCAAACCGTGGGCACAAAGGTATGGAGTACATGTGACAACCATGCACTGTGCCGTATAAATACTTCATTACTCCCACAGAGGCATAGCCAGGGCTGGAGCCGGGGGACCCGGCTCCCCTGGCAAAATTTTTTGGGGGGAGTGCCCTGATAAAATGTATTGTATAAAAATGCGAATCCTTGATTATATAGGTTCATGCTGTCAATAATGCAAAAATTCTGTAGAATATATGCTTTGCTGGGCATCGGTGTGAAACCTAAAATCACTTGTTCGCTTATTTGCGGAACACAGCTTGAAACACATACCTTTTCTAACCCTAATTATTTCAATATGTATTAAATGCGGGTTAGATGAAGTTTAAACCAATCTGTGTTTTTTACAAGTGAATTTTTAATGCGGGCTCGGCAGTGGCGCCGTGGCCGGAGGGGAGGGGGGGGGGGACCTGTCGGAAAATTGCCAATACAGAGTTTGAGCAAGACAACGAAAACGAAGGCGTACTTGCCAATTTTTGCCGTCTGCACATTCTCTTGCGCATACTGAGTTGGACGTCACTGGTGGTTGCTCAACGTGTCTTCCCATGTGTCGCTGTTTATGCATACTGACCCTAATTCTTGCCCTGACCCAGAAAAAAACAGCGAGAATGAAACTATATCCCGTCTTTGTCCTTCTGCCTTCGTTCAGAACGAAGTTCACAGCGAATTTTGCCAAAATTTTTGCGAATTTTTCGTTGTGAACGAAGGCAGAAGAACGAAGGCGAGATATGGATTCATGTCTCGCTGTTTTGTCTTGATCAGGGTAAGGATTTGGGTCAGCATTCATAAACAGCTAGACATAAATCTCTAATCTGTCTTCACGCCTGACTCTAAACTCAGAATGCGTAAGATAATGTGCAAGACAGGCAAAAATTGTCAACCACGGTCCACGTCGTCCGACTTCGTTCTCTTGCTCAAACTCTCTAATGTTAGTCGGAATCTTCGTGGTGAAGCATCGGAAAAAGTGATACGGAAATTGGGAAAAGTGCTACGAAAGCAATTGTAATGTTATTGTCCAGAAAAATTTTTTATCGAAAAAGATGTCGACGGGGGGGGAGGGGGAGATTTAAAATGTTGTGTGGTCCGCAAAATTTTTTCTTGCGTCTCGAGTCATTGGCGGCTTGGCCCCACCTGGGTTTTTGCTGGCCCCCTCTGACAGAAACTCCTGGCTACGCCTCTGTACTCCCATACCTGAGGTAAATATATTGATGCACTTACGTATTTTTCTTAGACTGGTTATGAAAACCCAAGACGAACGTGTGCGTTCATTGAACCTGACATAAACAGCAGTGTATGGAGCAGTAAAGGATGTACATTGAATGAAGCTGAATCAAGTGAGGAAAATGTTACCTGTGATTGTGATCATAACACGGCTTTTGCTATCATGATGGATGTTACGGGTGTGCAGGTAAGATGGATAAATCACTTCATTCTGGTTTAAGCATGATGAGGTGCAAAGTTAATAGAAGAATACCAGGAGTTAGCATACTGCCACTCTGAGTTACGTCTGCTACTGTAGTTTGAGAGAGAAGAGTCGTTTCTTAGGTCCAATATTTCAACACTCCAATCTTGATCATTATTGGCGATTGTTCATTGCCCAAACTATAATTAATAAAATTTAAACAATGTACAGTACATTGTACTTGTGCAACCAGAAAATTTTGATGTGACTAAACTTGTCTTAACAATCTTAGACTAATTCCGAACAAATATTGGTCCAATTACATTTGTTCACACTAAAATTCATACGAAATTATGCAGTCCGTGTGAACGAAGCGTCACCTAATATTTCATATCCACTCACCTTTTTTAGCTAACGGAGTCTGAGCGTAAGTTATTGGAAACGATTTCCACCGTTGGATGCTCAATATCATTGGTCGGTGTCGTGTTGACAATTCTCTTGCAAGTTTATTTTTGGAGACAATTGAAATCACCTCGCGCCAAAATTTTAGTCAGTTTGTGTGTTGCTATTGGATTTACCGATATCTTTGCCATCCTTGAGGGTGTTGCAAGAGATAGCCCGGTAAGTTCGCTTTCCTATTTTATTTACCATGGGGTGTTGGTGTCATGGCATTCTTGTCCCCAGAGCCATTTTCACTCGGTCACTCATCGAAAATTAGGTTTTGGATTAGACAACTAAAGGGAGACATCTAATTGGCTTCTCAGAGAAGCGCAATTTCGCAGAAGTTGAGCAGTTTTCTCTAGGCAAAACTATTCTATCAAAATGTGTCAACGGAAATACGTCAATTCTTCGTAAACTTCTCTGTGAAAAGTGTTACGCGTTCTGAAGCGTCCCAATTCAATAGCATGCGCTTTAGAAACTACTGCAAGTTTTCTTGCACTTCCGGTTAAGTTTCGTGAATTTCAGGGCCTATGAAGGTTGCGCTCGTCCGTGAGGCCCTGGGAGCGAGAACAGTGTCATAGTGGTTAATGCATGTGTCTTTAGCCTCTGTGGCTTCATTCCCTGCAATATGCACTTGTTTTTCGAGACTGCTACTTAAATGTATCGAATCAAGGAACTTTGTCACGAAGTCGCAGAGTACGGGTTTTCACCTGCGTATTCCGGACCACTGATCTCGAAATATAACACTGGACCAGTAACCGATGGATTGTTATTGGTCAAAGAAGAAAAATATATCCAAAACTTATAACTACCCGGTAGAAATAAACTATATTAGTTTAGTTTAATGTATTGTTTTAACGGAGTGGTTTATGTGGTTTATTTTCAACAGAATTTCTGCAAAGCAGTAGCGGCTCTCCTGCATTTCTTTGTGTTGTCAGCGTTCGGATGGATGTTGTGTGAGGGAATATTACTGCACATCTTACTGATCAGAGTATTTGATGGTGTGCGTGGCAAACATTGGAAGATATTTAATTTTATTGGCTGGGGTAAGTAAGTCTGTCTTCCCGATTATAGACAAGTGTTTTCGGTATTTAAGCGATGACTAAGTAAGGATAAATCATATTGATGAGTTTCAGTAAGTATTACGGAACAGCTAAAACTACATCTCCCAATTATGACAATTATAATGAAAATAATTAATAGTGAGTTTAAGATACCCCGGTTTCGGTGTACGGGTAGCATGATTTTGGTTAGCAATATTTTCGTCGATGTCTGTACCTTAGTCGTAATTAAGGTGCACATTTTTCGCATTATATCATTGTCTATTGCAAGAAAACAGAAAAAGTATGATCGCATTACAGACATCAGTAAAAACTAGTAAACACGATGACACTACTCGTACCCGTACACCGAAACCGGGATATATTATTTTCTCCCGCTGATATCTGCCAACTTACTATCATTCGCTGCATATTAGTGACTAGTGAAATCCATCAACTGAGTTGGCGCCATGTATTGCATGGCTCAGCCATGTATTGCGAGGCAGCGACTCTCCGTGATGGCACTTCTCTGATCTCATGAAAAGCGAATTCTATCGAATAAAGGTTTAACAGCCGGGTGTTCATAAGTAGAGGCAAATATCTAACACTTCGTGTTTACCACCGTCACAGGCATTCCTTTACTGATTGTCGTTGTATCACTTGGAGCGACTCAGGGTGAAGGATATGGCACAGAATCTTCATGTTGGCTTAGTGTTGAAAATAACTTGATTTGGGCGTTTGTGGGACCTGCTTTCCTCGTCATATTGGTAGGTGGTTTCATCTTGTTACAATTTGGAATTGAAAATGAGGTGTTTGCGGCACAGTGGTTTGTGCATGGATCTTTCACCTCTGTGGCTGGGCTCAATATAATTTCGGCTTAGAAGCATTCGAGAAGAGTGCTTCTGGTTGACTCGCAAGTTTTTTCCGTACCAAGTGGGATGATCCACTTCGGGCAATAGTTTAGAACTGATCAGATAGAACTATACTAGTTTAGGTTTCCTCCTGTAGTAACATTAGACCGATAAAGATGGCACTTGCTCTATCTCTTTGAAGAGAATTTTAGGTATGCTAACCAATATATACAAAGGTATCACAATAATAGGATTTTTTGTCTATATTTCTTTCTTTATCTTCCAGATCAACACTATTGTGTTTATTATGATCCTACGCACAATAATGAATTCCCACAACACAGTCCACCAACCTGACAACATTGGTAAAGTGAAAACTGGTGTGAAAACAGCTGTGGCAATCTTCCCAATCCTTGGTTTGACTTGGGTGTTTGGTTTGATGACTTTCAACAGAGAAACATTGTTCTTTCGTTATCTTTTTGCCGTGTTTAATTCCGCGCAAGGAATGCTCATTTTCTTGTTCCATTGTGTCCTTAATAAACAGGTAAGAGTGAGGATATCTGAAGCTTGGTGTTCAGTGTAGGTATACTATTTTACAATAAACTGCTATGGTTTGTGTCTGAACTTCATGGAAAGGATGAAAAATACTTCTACGTACATTTTAAGCGAATCGAATTAAGCACTTCACCAGCAAGTTCTCTCAAGGTGGCTGATTACAGGTTTTTTTTTATAAAATGAAAAATTTGCGATTTAAATCCGCATTTTTCGACAATTATTACTTGTTAAAAAACAAAAAATATCTTACTGATGTGAAACAACATCTAAAGAGTTTAAATCGTTTCCACAAAAGTTACTCGACTGCTGTTGCTATGGCAACAATGACGTTTCAAGATGGCTGGTATTTTGGCTTTAAAGTAATTTAACTCGAAAACGACATTGGGACCCCTAATTTCATTCCATAAAATTACTTCTCTTAGTATACTCAATTATTTTGACAATTTAAAAAAAAATTATGTTGAGTCAATTAAAAAAGGGTTACGAATAATCACAATTACTTAATTTGAAAATTTTTGACTCAACAGAATTTTTTGTCAAAATAATTGAGAATTCTAAAATAAATCATTTTATGAAATAAGATTGCGGGTCAGCGATTTCGTTTATGAGTTAAATTACTTAACATCCACAATATCCAACATATTGAAACGTCCTTATTGCATTTGTAAACAAATTCAAACCTTTTAGATGTTGTTTTACATCAGTAAGATACCTTTTTGCCAAGTAATACTTGTCCACAAATTCGGATCTAGATCGTGAATTTCCCATTTTACAAAAAAACTTTATTAAGCCACCTTAAATGTGTTGGATAATACTACGTTTTATGTTTTCCAGACACGAGAAGTCGTCCGCGACAGCATAACAAGAAGTACTTTCTCAAGCAGCTTCAGCACAAAATCAGTTCGCCGTGCAAAGAGTAAGAAAACAATATTTTCAACTTTAGCATTTTATATTTTATATTGTTATTCTCCATATGCAAAAAGATCTAAAGGCGTTTCATACATCTGTAATTAGATCAGTACTTGAATATGGGGATAAGTTTGGCTGTTTAGCATGGTAGTCTAACTGGTGGATAATTTCAAGATCGGAGAGGATCCAAAGAAGAGCGCTTAGAATAGTTTATGCAGAAATGACTTACGATGAAGCATTATTTATTTCGGTGTCAGGGTGTAGTATTAAAACCTTGGAGAATCGTAGAGAAATTATACGTATAAATCTGATAGATCAGATGGACATGATAGATCCTATACATAAATTACATGACCTTGTTACCTTTTACGGTCAACCGAATAAGGGGAAGAGAGACAAGGTTGAGTGGTGATAGGATATACAATTTTAAATGTAGGACGGAAAGGTTTAAAAATAGCCCAATTGTTATTGCCATAGATAATTGTTTTAAAATTCACATTGTAATTTAGCTTTCAGCTATTTAGTGTAAAAAGTTTCAATAATAATAATATTTTTACACTCTAACTATAATTATGTATAACGACATGGTTTGTTTTCTCAGATTCCACGAGTTTGCCCAGCATGGCAGTCAGTTCAAGTATAAACCAGAAGATGGTTAAAAAGAATGCGAGACTACAGTTAGAGAGCAGGGAATCTGAAAGTGCTGGGTATGAGGGATATAACAACCTGAATATGTCTGTGACACGGGAAGCGAACGAAGATGATGTATACGTTACATCTCCTGCTGTCCAAGGTTAGTCATGTTGGAAACGTTTTGCTGGCAGGAATATGCATGATTAATTCTTTGTGAACCTGGTTACATACGGGAACGTTATTTTTGCTGGATAGTTATATCAATTCCAGATTGTTAAAAAGACCATCCCATGTTGCATCTTGGGGGAAATGGAGTATCTGAAGAAAACCAGCAGCGTATTGTGAAGCCAAACTGGAGTCGTTCTTCTTACATGTGACTAAGGATTAATGAGGACGACCAAGGGTGTAACCCAGCTGCTTTGTCGCTTGTTTTATTGCAAAAAGGGACCGCTCATTATTTATTGTACGGGGGGGGGGACTGAGGAGAAACAGTTATAATATTTTTTTGTTGCACCCCTCTTAAAGGGGCAGTGTCACCGATTTTGACCCTCGCAAATCTTTAGGAATCTTGCATAAAACCTAAAAAGAATGGTTGTAAGCACAACATAAAACAATAACAAAATTACAGAAAGCATGTACAAATGTCTGCATGGTTGAGATTATATTAGGCGAGGATTGAGATGGATTGTAAATGACATCTTGATTAATTGTTGGCGGACACTTTTTCAAGTTTGGGTCAATTTGTATGAAAACGTCGTCTTACATGCTGTGTGGAAGTTCAAAGTTGTTTAATATGATTCGTATATCATAACTGAACCTATTTATAATGTTTATTTTCAAATTCGCAGGTCATACTTTGAATACGAGACTTTTTGGTCAAAAATTGTTGACACTTCCCCTTTAAGACAAGTAGAATTTCCAAAGCCCCCTCCAACGGGCAAAACAAGAACACATTTTGGAACCTCCCCCAACTCTAGCGCTTTATTTATGGAAACAAAAATAGATAGTGGGGACCAATTTTACATGAACATAAGTGACTATTTATTAATTTGGCTTCTATTTATGAATATTAATATTAAAGCTTTGCGATAGATTTTTAAAACTATTAATATTTTTTTCAAACTAGTAATTCTTTTCAAAGCCCCCGTTCTTTTATCTCTCTGTATTTTTTCAAAGCCCCCCTTTCAGATTTTAAGAATTTAAAGGCCTCTCCAGTTTCTCCTCAATCCCCCCTGCACAATAAATAATTAGCGGTCCCTAAGTCGCTGGAGCGTATCACTCGTAACACAAATCGAAATTTATCGCTAGTCAACAGCTGTCGTTTGTCGCTCTTAGATATATCGCCTCGTTTAAGGAATGTTTTTAAGGAATGTTTTTAAGGAATGTTTTTAAGGAATGTTTTTAAGGAATGTCCGCCTTGGTGGGCGTCATCATTATGGGTATATATTGCACGAATCGAACCCCAATTCAATCTCTTCACGAGAATCATTTTTAGTATTCGGCTTAATCTGAAAATGGATTTCTATTTGATAATTAATTCATATCTTTTTCATTAGCAGATCACCTTGTAGCTGCATGTTTTAAATAGCTTCGTTCTGTGATTAACATGCACCATAAAATAAAAAAGTTTATAGACACTTGCTGTAACGAGTGTTCGAATTTGCTTGAGTGTGCGCAGGAGACAATAGCTCGAAATCTAGGCGGACAATGCCACTCATTGTAAATATCTAGATTTCTGTGCCAGCAAGCAAATGTGACAAGTGCCTATTGATAAAGAAAAGAATAAGTAAGATCCACATATACTTTGTTCAATGTAGGAAACGAAGAGATGCGCCACAGTTCACCAAACCTTTCCGCACACAGTGAAAATTCCCTAGGCAGAGACAACATTGCAGTTGAGACGGATAGTAAGGGATACCATAGTGGAGAATCAGAGAATTCGTCTTCTGAAGACAGACCCTCAAACAACGAAGAGGCTCACTTAACTGTATAATGTTACTTTACTGTATGTTACTGTACAATGTTATTGTGCTGCATAATGTACGTAACTCTATAATGTTGTTATTGTTGTACTGTATAATGTTACTATAATGTACTAATAATATACAGCATGCAAAAAGGTTCTAGGATAAAGAAAATCGTGGAGACAGCTCCACAATGCGCATTATAATTTAATGAACTGCATTGCTGTATATTTAGCGTCTTAAACCTTGAAACTTGCAGGGTGTGGGTAAAACATACACCAAACAAGAATGCACTATATAGTGAATAAAATATAACTGAACTAGTAACTTACGACTACAGCAAAGACTGTAATTATTTAACGATTTTTAATACAAACGAAATTTGATTGTTGTATATGCGTTGCACTATGAATCATCATTAAAACTTCCCCTGTATAAACGTGGGCCTACGTGGCGCTACGTTTTAGGCCAGGGTCAAACGTCGAACTTTTCATGTGCCGAACCTAGAATGTTCCTAGTGAGCTAATTAAGTTCTTTGTTTCACTTCATTTGCATTAGGTTCGGTACATGAAGATTTCGACGTTTGACCCTGGGCCCCTGGCCTACGCGAGGTAATTTTCCATACATCATGCAGTAACACACTAACATCCTAGTTATACTTCAGCGTCCATGGGCGTTCGAGGCAGGCGGGGGGGAGGAGGAGCGACTGTTCCACCCCCCTCTTAGAAAACCATGGAAATTTGGGAACATGCTAAGGAAAATGAAAAAATTTCGGGCAGATTTATCAGAAAATATCTGAAATTCAGGTTATTTCATTACAATCCTCCATAAAAATTCGGGCAAACTTTTAACTGCCCCTAGGAAAGCTAGCATCACGCTTATGTCAGCGCGTAAATAAGCTTGACCTGACAAAAATATAAACGAAAATCTGCCACCTTTGTGCTCTCGTCGTTCCGAAGTCTTTGGTCAAGAAACATTTACTCTATAAGAAAAATGACAGTTACTGTTTTCACGAAGAGAATATTGGCGCTTAACGGTGAAGGAGAGATGTGGAATAGGCTCCATTAACAAATTTAGAAAAGACGACGAGGCAAATGAAGTAGACGACGCGGTCTCAATTTCAGTTCAAGATTGAGAGCTAAGGAACTTGACTACTGTAATAAATTTAATTTTAAGTTTTTTTAAAACAACCGTACAAACGGCGAAGTTCGGAAAACGATCCGGTGTATGCTCTGATCCTCTGACGTCGCAACAGACATTTTCGTTGCTCCGAAGACGTGAAAATCTTAGTGTAACATTGAGTTCAGAATGACAACGTTGTTGAAGACACCCCTGAGACCACAAATTATTCAAACTTTTTGTTTTTCATGAAGAATTTCTTTGTTTTCGAAGGCGTGTCTTTCAGTTCGCGTCGTGTTTTCTAAATCAGCCTATTAGTATACGGCCAACATCTCGCTATATTGATTAAAAGAACTAGTTAAGAATCAGTTCAGGCTAATTTTTCACTAAATTCCTATTATATAATTCAGCGTAACATAAAAATAGTGGTTTTTTATGCGGGTTTTTACTGTATCATTTTAAACACAAACTAATACATGTAACTCGAAGAATGTATTGTCCGACCATCGTGTATATCAACTTGTCCATCGATCCTTGTTCCGCGAATACAAACAATTGTGACACAGGCTCTGCAATGCAATAGCTTTATACTTTATTTCTATACTGTTCAGTATGATCTTCAAAAACATTATTACAATATTTAAGATTTGCTTACGAATCTTACAATTTTCCAGATCCATTAAATTAGTGAAATATAAGACTACGTTTTTCGCCTTGCAGAAAATATCTGTTATTGATCCTGTTCGTTTGAAAAAGAAACAAATCCTTTGCCATGGCAACGATCACAGTGGGTATTGTTCTTTCTTTTCCCACGAATGTGGTCAATACAATACGTTATAGCAGGTTTAATTGAGCCTTTTTCATCTTCTTGTGGCCCAACAAGGGCAAGCACGGTGGTGAAAAATAACAAGGAGAAAAATATGGAAAGACCGATTGTGCAAAACATAAAGATACCAAATTGAAAGAAGAATACAATTTTTGCGCCAAGCATAAAGATTGATGCCCCTAGAGTTGAACAAGCGCCAGAAAGTACTGAGATACCAACATGAGTTAGAGTATGCTGAACTTTGGTCAGTCTATCTTCACCTACTAAGTGCATGTAACCTTCTGCCAAATGCACCACATAATCCACTGCAAGACCAACAACCAAGGTGAGATTAAGAGATTCCAGAACTCCAAGTTTCCATCCAATCATTGTTATTGTACCAAGTACACAGCATGTGATCAACGATATAGTTAACGACGCAAGTGCTCCAACTATGATGTTTGTTGTTGCGATAACGAGCACGAAGAACGAGGAGAATAATCCAATCAAAATACCAGTTATTGCGCTCCAAACTAGAATCTAAAGATAAAAGAGCAAAGGGTAATGGAGGATTTTCACTTACAGAGAAATATTTCGCTTGATTTCTTTTGAATTGTGACCAACCAAATAAATCAGTTCTACTTGACCGCCCACATTCAAAAGAAATTGAGCGAAATACTTCTCGCTTGTCGAAATTTTTCTTCCAAGATGAAAACAAGTTTCCTCATATATTATTAAGCTGCAATTTTCCACTTTATTTAATAATATTTAAAAAAGTATACGTCATCGGACGACATATGAATTGAAACGATTTTGTCAATAAATTCCCTTTTTTGCCAAGCGGACCTTTCTCGCACTGAAGCACACAGGAAAATGAATTTCGATTGGTTAGCAAAAAAATTGGCGGAGAAAAAGTTGAATCGCATACCTCCTGGACTTTCAGCCAATGCCATGTATTATCATATCCAACCGTTGCTTGAAAACCATTGCTACATGACGGTGGCATTTCTTTTATCTGAAAAGCATACATTTACCATATTTTACGTTTCCTATATTATATCCGCTTTACATGTGTGCCACTCTGGACAAAATGAATCTGGGATATCAGTAGATTAACTAGATTTACATTTTTTGGAATAGCATGTATTATGCTTTGTCGATTAGTTTGCTTTCCCATTATAAATTTCTGTCCAGTTTTGAAACTCGTTTGTATATTTGTGTCTGAAATAACTAGCGTTATCCGAGGCAAACATTTGAGAAGTACCCTGTCCCTATACTCAGAATAATAAAGAAATGGAACCAAACGGATTCGCCGTAATGGCAAACATGCTAGGCTGTTGGTAGTCAATGTGACGTCCAAACTGAAACGAAGAAATAGCTGTCTTCTCCTGATGCTTCGGTCACGGTATTATTCAGCTAATGTACCTCCCATTGGGGCTTTTCAATGACCGATTATTATAAGTAATAGCATGGCTTGAGGGAGATTAGTGATTAAATGGCCCCGTAACCCGAGGCCGCAAACCTGCCGAGGGTAAGGGGTCATTTAATCACTAATCTCCCGAAAAGCCATGCTATTAGTTTGTAATAGCATAGTTGCGCTCCCATTTAAAAATGGACAAACATGCCCTACTTGGAATCAGCGTATTTAAGCTAAAACATTT